ATGGGAATACACAAGGAAACATGTAAATAGAGATGACCTCTGTTCTTCAGAATTTATATGTAAATCTGTTGCTTTCACATTGACTTTAATCTTCTGGTCTTGTTTTCTTTAAGACTCCCTGATTGTATGTCCTGATTATATAAATCATTTACATGTTGGTATCTGTGCAACTTATCCAGTATGTTAAGTGTGTTGTAGCTTCCAGAGGTACGTCTAGTGTCACCCTGAACTTATTATAGAATCCATGTAACTATGTAACAGAGTTTCTGCTTTGCACATCAGCATTCAGGTAGTAAGAGCTTCTTCTCACCCAAATGATTTAAAATATCACTCCCATCCACAAAGCACAGAGAAGAACAATGATCCTGGAGAACAAACCCAGATCTCAAGTAGGTCAGAAAGGCAGGGATCTGCACCATCTCATAACCGCAGCCAGAATTTTACAGCAAATATGAAAGGGAAGCAGAGACTCCCCTAGAAATATGCTGGCAAGGATTCAATCTACTTCGCACTTTGAATAAAGGTCTGCATAAGTGAATACGGGATGAGAAAGAAGAAATCTGAAACTCATACAAGACAATCCAGCTTGGACAATACTTATCAGAACCAGAACAGTTAAGGGTGATCACAACTTTCTTACTGAAAAGGAACCAAACTTTGGCATATGAGCTCATCATATACCTTTTGTAGCTTAAAATGAAGAGACTGTCTGAATGGATTTAGAAAAAACGAAACAGCCAAATGATATGCATCTAAAGAAATACACCTTAAACACGAAGAAACAATAGACTGAAAGCAAGTGGATGGGAAAAGATATACAACGAAAGCAGTAAGCATCAGAAACCTGGCATGGCTATATTAATAGCAGATAAAGTAGACTTCAAGGCAAAGAATGATATCAGAAATAAAAGGGACTTTTAAAAACGATAAATGGGTCAATTTTTCAGAAAGATCACATAATCAAAGATATGCATGTGCCTATTAAAGACTTAGATGATCTTAACACTATCAACTGCCTTGAACTATTTGGTATTTATAGAACTCTTTTATATTTGACATTATACATATCCATTGAACATCCTCAGAACACGCATTCTTATCAAGTGCACATGGTACAGACTATATGTTCACTCACGGAAGAAGTAGCGATACACTTTAAATAACAGAAATCAGAGCATGTTCTCTTATCACAATGAAATTAAACTAAATATCAAGAACAATAAGTATATTTATTCTCTATTGCTGCATAACAAATTACCACAAGCTCAGCAGCTTAAAACAATACACATCTATTATCTCATAGCTTCCGTGGGTCAGGATTCTGGGTATCGGAAAACCAGGTTTCTGTTTC